GTTTTAAGGAGACAGTATCTTAATATGCAGGCCAGGCTGACTTCCAACTTCAGATCCTCTGCCTCCTTGGTACTGGGTTTATAGGCATATACCACCAAAATGGATTAAAAATCACTTTTGAGTAGTTTTTAATTATGGGCAAGGTCACCTATAATGGATGAAGATCCACACGTTTAAGAGTATGGCCACTCAAAAATACACACCTGGTCCTTTACTAGAGCAAGGCCGGCAAGACCACTATGAGCCTAGTCCTTTTTTTCCCCCCAAATTAAAAAAAAAAAAAAAGTATTCCATCCTAGACATCTCACAGAGTCCAGGCTGAGGTTAACCTCCATGCCTCGTCTCCAGTTGTCTTCACAAAGTGGACAAATTCCCAAATGTTCCCAGCAGTCCTGCAGGCAAGGGTGCCTACAAGCTACGGAAGGGCACTTAGAAAAAGTCAAACTTGGACACAGAAACACACCCCGAGGTTCTCAGAGACGCTACTTCCAGCCTAGGTGACATACGAGGTTCTGCAGACAGACGGAACTGGGATGTGCCCCTTCGCCCCACCCGTCACTGGGTAAGTGGGATTCCTATGCACATACAGGCTCTGTGCTCCCTGGGTCCCTCCAGGGTCTCTTCTGCCTTCTGGTGGTCCAGGTAACAAGTGACAGTTTGAATCGGGAACAGCAATTCAAGCTAGATACCTTCTAGTGAGAACAACTCAATTAGAACTGCTGGTGGACAGACCCGGGCCTCTAGGATTGGTAAAGCTGCCTGGGTCGGGATGCTGTGCCCTGAAGCTGGGCATTGTGGGTCAGGTGGTATGGCTGACCCCTTCCCTCAGTGTGCCCTCATAGTCTGTCCTCAGTTTCTTCTCATTGTCCCGTATGGTTTCTCCCTCAGTGTTTCCTCAGTCTCCTGAGACAGGGGAGTTCAGGGTTAGGCTCACTCTGTAGATGCTCTCACAGTTCCCGGGAGATTGGACTTCAAGCTGGTGGACTGTCTCTGATCCTAGGGTCCTCTCCATCACACTGCCTATGAGGAGATGGTCTGTGGTTTTGCAGAACGTGACCTTCTACACCCATGGACTGACCGGGCCCTGTGCTGGGCCTGTGGAGAAAAGGATAGACCCTGTCCTCTAGAATGAGGAGAGGAGGGAGGAAGATACAGACACAGCCATGGGATTCAGAGTGCCAGGGAGTCCCTGGAAAGCCCACAAGAGACACCAACAAAGGAACTTTATTTTAGACAGACTTAATTCAAGAAGGACTCTGAAAAATACCTGATAAGCAGAGATAGAGAGCCCAGCTGGGTGTCAAATCCAGGGCACAGCTGAGGTAGAAGGAACAGAAGACACTAGAGAGATAGAAAATTGGGGGAAGACCTTCGGGCAGTGGTTCTCAACCTGTGGGTCACAGCCCCTTTGGAGGTTGCATATCAGATATCCTGCATATCGGATATTTACATTACAATTTGTAACAGTAGCAAAATGACAGTTATGAAGTAGCAACGAAATAATTTTATGGTTGGGGGGGTTCACCACAAAGTGAGGAACTGTATTAAAGGGGTCACAGCCTTAGGAAGGTTGAGAGGCCACTGTCTTAGGGAATGGGAAGAGGAGCCAGAAGAGACCTGCAGCTCCCACAGCCAGGGAGGTGCCGGCTATTATGACCAATAAAGAGAGCAGAGAAGCCACTGAGGTCTTGGGGAAACTTTTGATGGAAAGGCATAGAGGGCCCTAGAAAGAGCATGTGCAAGAATATGCCAGCCTGAGTCAAGGCCCAGCTAAGGCCACGGTGGCCTTAGAGTGTCCAGATGGTGGCCATAGGCACATTGCTTTTGCAAGGGCTCAGTTGTCTAGTGAGGAGGTGGCTATGGAGGTCCCTGGGGTGGGCCAAGAAAGGCAGCAAGCTTATGAGGGAATGGGCAGAGCAGCACGGAGATGTCTTCATGGCTCATCCTCGGGGTAGGGACCACAGAGATCTAACGTAGATGGACAGGAGCCAGCACAGGAGAAGAGGAACCGGATATCTTAGGGAAATGAGGCTCCCCTAAGTGGGTAGAGGAGGCTGGCAGAGGACAGAGTGTGGTGGAAGGGTGTCTCTACAACCGATTTAGGGGCAGTGACGCTGTAGTGAGTGCAGACGCTCAGGGCCTGAACATGAACGGCTCCCATTCACTCTGGAGGCACGTGTTATGATTTTGGGGATACAGGACATGTAGGGCATTTTGCTCGCTTGGGGGGGTGGGGTTGGGGTGGAAAGACTTGGAAAGACTATAAGAGATGGTTCCACAGTCCCAGGGATGGAGGCAAGGGATGTGGTGTAGGCCTGTTCTCAGTGCCAAGGAAAACTGGCACCTGTTCCAGAGCTCGGAAGTCTGTTTCTACCATCCCTAACCAAATCTTCAGTTCTGCATAGACTTGAGTCTCCAGTTCATCACCCCTGGGGGCACAAGTGTCAGATTTCTCTCCCACTGCTTCTGGGACCCTTCTTGTTCCTTGGGTGCTTTCCATCCTACTTCAGAGAGCAGGCAAGCGGCTCTCCACCCACTGTTTCTGAATTGGCCTGTTTTGTACCAGGACCCAGTGGACTGTCCAGGAGGGTCTCGACTGGTCAATGGGCGCCATAGTGGGCTCCAGCATCTTCTCTTATCCTTTGGGGGTATTAGTGGGTATCCCGACCAGACATAAGGAGCATATCTGGTACTGGGCCCATATATGATGGGAACTCACAGAGACAGTCCTGGCTGGGTCCAGAGCTGGTGTTGGTGGCATGTAGACAGACATAATTCAGAGTTGCACTAGACACAGCTTCTACTCTTCAGGAAGTGACCAACGGTAGGCCGGACAAAGGTCCACTATAGGGACACCAGTCTGGGGGCATGCAGATACTAAATCCCTCAAAAGGTGCATTCCATCTGGTAGGCCTAGTGAGAAGTGTCAGGACCAACCTCCTCCCCCATCCTGAATCGACACATGCTGACCCCAAGTTGGGACACATCTGAGTTCCATGCCAAACCTTCACGGGCATCAGGGAGTAAGAAGAACCAAACTAAGGGCAGCCATTTAAGGAAGCAAAAATCACTCCTTCAGGGCCTCCTCCCCAACCTCTTTCTTCCCGGCACACAGCCAGTGCAGAGTAACCCAACGAAAGCTGTCTTACGGTGAAGCACACCTCCAAATTTCTCCTTTACACCCTCTGCTTGCTAGGAAGGAGACGGCTCCCAAGCATCAGTCACAGAAGCCAAGCATCCCCTAAGGCCTACGACAATGGACAAGACAGTCCCTCCACCCCAACCCCCAGTCAGAGGTGCTATTAGGTTCATGCCAACAGCCCACCAGCTCCTCTGGGTCAGGAGCCTGCCAGTCAGTCTTTGTCTGTGCTCTGCCTTCTGCTTTACCGCGGGGAAGAAGCTGCTGAGGCATAGTTGGGTGGTGGGTGCCTTCACGGCGGCATCTGATCCGGGCCCAGCCTCTAACCTCCTCTGATTTCCTCATGTCAGTCTCTGCTCTCTACAACCTGGGATCCTAGAGGCACCGCTTTTTGTTTTCTTCCCTCGGTGTCTGTGAAGAATCCTGGAATAATATGCTATACCTTCCATGACACCGTCACTGCGTCCAAAGACAAGGCTCTCTCCTGACATGGAAGGAGCCCCGGTTGGCCTGACGCTCTAAGCTAAGTGGCGAGCATCTGCTGGTCCCAGGTATAAGCCTCCTGGCCGGGGGTTCTCAAGAACATGGGCCTAGGCCAGCTGACCCTTAGCTATCCTGAACCCCCCCCCCCCCCGCCCCATAGTCTCAGCTGCTTCATGAGGGGTAGTAATTGTCTGAATGTTGGTGAGTCCAGTTGCGGGATCATCCCTGTGGCAGGCATGTGATGCCTGGCTTGCCGGCAGGTGACAGAACCATGAATGCTGCAGCTGCTTTTCCTCAGATTTATGCTCTCACCAGGTAGGCCACAACTCACCCCTGCACACCCCCACCCACCCCCGCTGCCACTCCTCACCCCACTTGCTCCTGGATTGACAGTCCTGAGTCTAAACGTTAGGCCAGATCTCTCCGAATTGAACACTAGGAAATAAATGGCTTTGCAAAGTACATTCTCAGAAATGTATTGTGTGGTACTGCTACAGTAGATGATTCAAAAAATCCTAAAAGTCCACCTTTAGGGCATTAATTGGTTATGTATTATATGTATTTTATATATATATATATATATATATGTGTGTGTGTGTGTGTGTGTGTGTGTGTGTGTGTGTGTGTGTGTGTGTGTGTATGTATGTATATATATAATTATTATATACCTAAAATAGGAAGCTTTGACAAATGATGATACAGACTTCTAATTACTGAGATAAAATGCTGCCCTAACACACTGTTGAGCCAAAATAGCATTTACCCTTGGTAGTAGTGGGTACAGCGTGATCACAGATGCATAGACCTATGTACACATTTTATGTATGCACAGAATTTTTTATCTCTATAGGATATAATTATATCATTTATACGATTTTAGGTTTCTTTCTATATGTATATGCACATATATACACATATAGGTGGGTTTTTTTTTTTTTTTTTTGGTGTTCGAGGTTGAATTCGGGGCCTTGTATGCTAAGAACTCCTTCTACTACTGAGTGATACCCTCAGCTTTTAGAGGTGACCTTTTAAAACATGTAACATTTTTTTTTTTCTGATAATACATTTTAGTAACAAAAAAGCTGAACTGTAAGATTTGAACTTTTTAAACTCCAAAAAGAAAAACAACAGATTATAAGATACTTCAAGGTCATGTAGGCTAGCCCCAGATCTAACTCCCTACAGACACTCAAGATGGAGGTCAGGATGGCTTATGGGCAGCCCTATGGCTCACAGGCCTGTGGTAAAACTCCTCTTAACCACTGAGTAAGGGACCAGGGCCATTTCCCTCTTGCCTAGCCCCTCAGGAGGAGAAGACAGCCAGCGTTGCCTAGGCAGGATGCCTCCCCCATTCCAGGCTTGTTAAGTAGAGACCTACCTTGCGTCGTCCGTCTCTGGTGAGCTCAGGATTCGTCCCCAGGATGCAAAAACTTCGATGGCCACCAGCACTTAGCAAAGCATGGGCATAACGAGGAAGCCAGACAGTCTGGAGAAAGAAAGAGGAGGGAGAAGAATGGGGCTCGGGTGTGGAACAACCATCATTTTTGTGAACTCTCGATTCTGAGTTCCAGTATCTTAGATGACCACCACCCTTAATGGTTGTTTGTCTCTGCCTCATGTTCTTCCCTGATGCTGATCTTCCTCCATATGGACGCTCTCAAACAAGGGTACCAAACTCTGCCATAGCACACCCAGATGATGGAGTACAGTGAGTAGTTGCCTCCCCACCCCTCCACACAAGCTATCCCTAATCCCCATCACGGAGCCATTAACATGGAATTAGAGTAAGAAGGACGGCATTGTTTCCCACCTAATCCACCCAGAGCAGTTCTAGATGGAAAATCCCCCAAGAAATTCGGTCTTTAATACTGAAAAGGCCATAAACTCCAGAATTACAATAACAAATCATTACTTCTTTTAGACAATGAGGAAGAAGACCTTGAGGAGGTGAAGAATGGAATCCTTGGAGAGAAATGTTTTAAATATAGATTTAATACCTACTAGGAAGAGGCTATCTATTATGGGGAGGCAGGGTGATTCCTTGTTCACTCTTTCAAACATAATATATGAGAAAGCCATCGCCATGATGGGAAATGGCACCCTCCCTGCAAAAGCACAGGACTGTCATTACCTGGGAATCAATATATTTTTTTAATGGAATATATCATTATCAATTGATTTTCCTTTTTCCTCTTAGCACTCCAGGGTCCTGGCTAGCAGGAGAAAGCTTTAATGTGGTATGAAGGATTTGGACAGGTAAATAAGTTATTGTAAACAAATCCCACCTCATGGCCAGCTTCTGACGACAGGACAGGCCATTTGCTGATCCTCTCTACCTAAGCTTTTTCAGCTGCCTCTGACAGGGACACCCGTGAGCCATATCAAATAGCCATTTGAAAGCCGAAGGTGGCAGAAATATTACTTTTCCCAAGGACAGAGCGTTCCCTTTACGATTAAGAAATAACCTCTGTGGGGAGGCAAAATGAGCCAAGGTCACCATTTAATTTTGACACAGAGCCAAAGTCGTGAATACATTTCCTCCACCAAGCCAGTGTGACGCATGCAGAGACATCGATCACTTCAGCCACAAGGTATTGGCAGCAATGGCGATCGGAAGATCAATGAATTTCTGGGAAAGATCCTGAGCAGATAGGTGTTGGTGAAGAGAGAGGTCTAGAAGACAGTGGTCACACTGATTTTAGGTTCTCAAGAACCTCATCCATTCATTCAGTCATCCATCCATCCATCCATCCATCCATTCACTCATTTCTCGTTCATTCATTAACTATTGAGTACCTGAAGCCTAATAAAGCCATTTTCTAGGCAATGGAAATGTATGAATGAACAAAACAAAAATATCACTCCCCTCATGGAGTCCATAGTCTAGTAGGTAAAAACAGACAAGAAACAATGAACCTGATAGGTGAAAACTGTATTAGAAGAGGGTGAGGGGCTGGAGGAGAGGATGCTATCTGGGGACTGCTGTACAATTTCAACAGAGTGCGTGAGGTCAGCATCATCGGGGTGACATTTGTGTACATACTGGAAGGGAATAGGGAATGGGTGACACAGGAGTCTAGGGCAGAGGGAAGGGGCAGCGCAAAGTGCCTCGGGGACTGGGACACCATTTTAAGATCACTGACAAAGTCTCTGTGACTGGACCTGGGACATGCCAGCAGAAGACGGAGCTCCAGTGGTGGGTGCTCAGAGTGTGGAGGGACTTGTAGGCCACTGTAAAGGCTGTCAATCAAAAGCATGAGGATCCTTGCTACCAGGCAGCTGAGAAAGATTTTTTCAGAAATGCAAGTCAGATTATCTGCTCTTCTTCTCCTCCACCTACATGGTTCAAGTCTCTCTGGCCAGAGGACGCCATGACCCAGGTTGGACCCAACTGAATACAGCATAGGCAGACGGGAGGTTCAAGGGACAGTAGTGGGAAGGGAATACAGAACAGTCTATGACCTACAACAATGGCCTTGCGTTCCTACTCTTTCGTGCCAGACACCACTTCTAGAGGAGGTCACTGTGAGAGTTCTGAAGGGAATAAAGCCACACGCAAAGCCAGGTTCTTCTGATAGGAAAATGACCCATTAGCTAGTGTGCTGGAAATATTCCATTCATCCGGGTCAGCTTCTTACCCTACTGCCTGCTCTGTGTCCTTTGAGGCACACCTGATCTATCTGGGGCATCACTATGGTTCTGACACCCTCTGACTTCTGGTTAGGTTCAACCTACGTGGGCATCAGTAGGAGCCTGGGTATGGGCTGGGCCCTGCTGCATCGTCTTGTGTTTCTCAGCTGAAGGTGATAGCCCTCGAGGAAGGAGAGGGCACTCCCCCATTTAGGTTCCAGTAATAGCTGCCTCCCCTTGTCCCCTGCAATTTCAAGGCAGTGATTACCTCTATGCTCATTATTAGCGCCGGGATAGCATACTATCGTGGTATCTTTATACTGCACTTAGGCATTTGTGATTTGTTCTTTTGTCCGACTCTTTTCAAAGGATACATTTGAACCTATTTGTTACTTTTGGAAAAGATTAAACACACGACTTTACAAGAGGAATTTTTATATAACCACCTGGTTTTGTGATGCCCGGTAAGTTACTGAGTTCCTAAGAACCCACTTCTCATTTCTCAGACTAGAGGACATGGTTTGTGAGCCCAACCTCATCAGCACTGTGCCCTCTTCAGTACCACACATCTCAAGTGTGCCGCCAGTCATTCTGTGTCCCCAGCAAGGAGCTCCCAAGTCATGACGCTCTGGCCCATTCCCACCAGGTGCTCCCCCTTTAAGGGGTCTTTAGCTGTTCTTCGCTCACAACGAGCTTTAGTCTATGTCTTAGTGGTTTTATTTATGTAGTCTTACCTTTCCTTTCTCGCTGCCTTTTGCCCCACCTAACCAACCTCCATTTCTTACAGTCAGATCTGGGGCCAAGAACAGATGGATATTAAAATACTATTATCTTAATACTTGAATCTTGGGCCCACGGTGCCCCACGCCACATCAGGGCACAATAGATCACAACTCAAGCCATCTTTTCTTCTTAGATGGTCTACAAATGACACCCACTCCACCCATCCGCATTCCGCCTTAATGAGCTACTTGGCATAGAAAGTGATTTTAAATTATTAGAAACCGAGTTTCAATGATCAGAATGAACCACAATGCCTAGGAACCACAATTACAGCCACCGTGGCACAATAGCCCCAAGGGTGTGATAGTGGTGTTCATATCTTGGCGCTAACCAACAGTGCTTAACGAGAGGGAAATCATGCCTGATAGTAGATATCCAGCCAACCAACCTGGGCTAGTCAGGTCATGGAGCTTGGAGGAGAACCTACTACTGCCACCTCACTCAATGGGCATGATTCCTAACTGCATTCTAAATATTTATCCTTCGACCCACAGATAAGTACTTCTCATTGCAACAGGTGGAGACAGGATGGGAAACCACAATTGGTTAACAGGCAGAGAACAAGCACAGGGTGCCCAGCCCCAACGGACATACCACAGTGCCTCAACCTAAGGTTTGGGCGACTTTACAGAAGAGGAGCCAGGGCCATTATGAGGACCAGGAAGTCTGCTGTAAGATTGCCTCTCCTAGAAGTAACAGGGAAGCTTCATTCACGACACCTCAACAATATGGCTGCTCAATGATAGCCATATGGCTGAATGATGAGAATGCCAACAGACATGCTACCTTGAGAGGGGGGAAATCTCACAGGATGCCACCCACAGACAAGGAACTACAGGCAGCTCAGGAATGCTGAGAGCAGAAGAAAGAGTCTTTTCCAGGGATGAGCCCTCTAATTAATTATCCAATACCAAGTGGTCAGCCCTGAAATCCCATATATGTGAGTCACACTAAGTGGACAGAGTAGGTTGCATTTATATATTTAGGCATTTTGTGTGCATGTATGTGTGCTCGTGCGTGCGTGCGTGCATGCGTGCGTGCGTGCATGCGTGTGTGTGTGTGTGTGTGTGTGTGTGTGTGTGTGTGTGTGTGTATTTAAAGGAAGAGTCCTTGATTTTGAGAGGGAGTGAAGAGAGAAAAAGGAAGGAGGAAAATGATGTGTCATATTTTAATTTAAAAAATTCAATAGAATATGAATAACCCTTTTTCTAGGAATATTTTTGATGTTGTTATTTTGAAACAGGGTCTTTCTATACATAGCTTGCCCTGGAGCTCGCTATGTAGATCTGGTTGGCCTCAGACTCAGAGAGATCCTCCTGTCTCTGCTTCCTGAGTGCTGGGTTTAAGATCGTGCACCACCATCTCTGGCTCTAGTAATAATTTTGATCCCAAGGTAACATTGTAAAACTTGCAGTTTCTGAAGATCGTGGCCTGGGAAAACATCTCAGGATGGAACATAAGAAGTCACAGGGAGCCAGGATTGACTTTTGGACATCTGGTGAGATGGTAACAACACCTTACTTGGGGGCTTGATCTTGGTTACTTCAAGTCAAACTGATCCTTTCTCTTCCATTAATTGACTTACCAGAGGGCAACTTATCATCTCAAGGACAATGACATTAAAAAGCAAAAGGACATAGGATACTTTATTTTTAAAATCATGCCAGGTAACATTACTGCTTGTAAGTGGGATCTATCATCTTTACCTTCCCAGGGCACTTAGCAGATGAGATTGACTTTGACAAGACAAAGACCATTATGAAAACAAGAACCCAGAACGGGGCTGTTTGGGTTAAATGCTGAGAGATTTCAAAAACCTAACTCAGAGAACCATTTCAACTCAAAATCTGTAGGTACAGATGATTCCTGACATGAGCCAAACTGATAGCCAAGAGAGTTATAAACAAGGGCCCTAGGAGTCCTTACCGCTCTATAAAAGACACCAGTTTTTTGAAGAGAAACTGCCTGCCGAGAAGAGAAATCAATTAGGCACTCTCCCATTTGATACAGGATCAGAAACCAGCTAACTATGCCTGACTCTTGACCATACACCCCAATTACAGTTCTAGTACT